TTTTTTTTTTTTTTTTTTTTTTTTTTTTTTTTTTTTTTTTTTTTTGGAGGGGGTGGTGTAATTCATATTAAAATGCGTTTAGGGAGCGATCAGCTTGGTCACGGGTATTTAAGACATTTTGTTCCTCTCAGCCCCTTTTCTGCGCTTTTCCATCCGCGGGACAAACCCTTACAAAGAGGGGAGAATCCATCTGCCACCACCACCACCACCACCAGCACCAGCACCTCACAGACAGGGGAGTTTTAAATTCCTCTGTGTGTATAGCCCCATAATGGTCTCACCAAATACCAATTCCTAACAGCTATTTCATACGAGTCAACTCGTATAAAAGTTAGGACGGGTATGGAGATGGGTTGAATCGTAGCTTTTGTATGCCTTCATCTGGATAAAATTCAGCACAAACTTCACACTCTTGCAGTTTTTTCCCCTTCTTTATAGAATTGTTGTGAATTTTGAGCTCTATTGCTCTTCTCTGTATTGCTGCAGTCTCAGAAACAGGGTACTGAACTGCACCCTGTCTCTGAAGGGCACACCTTTATTCAGAAAGGTGTAATGTACCTTTAAAGCAATTCTGCAAAGCAATAGTTCATTTTAAAGGTAAGATCCATGTTAAAGGTACAAAATATGTTTTCCTTGCAGCTGGTGTGCTACCCCCAAGGGCACACCTTTACTCAGAAGGTGCAGTGTACCTTTAAAGCTTTACTCGAAAACAAACAAACAAACAAACAAACAAACATACAAAAAAAAAAAACTAATCACGGTCCATTTACGCACCTTCAATCATTTTAAAGGTAAGATCCATATTAAAGGTACAAAAGATGTTCCCTTGAGGGTACCACTATTTTCCTTGCTGCTGGGGTGCTACCCTCAAGGGGTGCAGTTCACGTACCCAGTCCAGCGACAGGGTGCAGATCAGTACCCTGTTTCTGAGGGTGCAGCAATACAGATTTTGTACATATTTTGTACCTTTAATAGTGCACCTTTAAAATGACCGAAGGTGCGTAAATGACCGTGATTAGTTTATAGAGACAGTATATAATAGTATATTATATTATTAGAGACAGTATATAGTGTACCTTTAACTTTAGTACAGTTTTTTTTTCTCAGAGTGTAAGGATGTTGGAGATATTTCACTTCACTGAGCCTGTTCAGTGAACGATGCGTCCATGTGACGTCACTTTTTTTCCCCACTTTTTTTACTTTAAGGTCCATCTGACTTACATTCAGGAGGATTAGATGACGTCAGAAAAAAAGGCTCCTTCACTGAGCTGCTCAGCACTGCACCTAACAGACTGTGGTGTTCTTCAAGGTTCTCCAGGCTGTCAGACCCTTTTGACAATTGCAAGTCTATTCTAAACCCCTCTTTTTTTTTTTTTTTTCGAAATAAAAAGAATTAGCTGTGGACCGTCACGTGACCTGCGTGTCAATCTCGCCGCCTGCACGCGAGCTGAACAATGGTGGAATTAGGGAGAGCTGCGCAAATCCCATCTCGGAGAGCTGTTATTTGCATTTGCTAAAAGGCGCGGGAGAAAAGCAGAGTGGCCGTGCCATTGTGATTGCATTTGTTCTCATGAACGCCTGGCTGTTGTTGTGTGAAGTTGGTCGTATGAGTCGTTTTTTTTTTTTTTTTTCAGCAAGGGCTTAACTCTTTTGGTATGATAACGAGGAGATTTGGCCTCTGTCACCCGCATTTTGGGAATGGGAACGGGGGCGCGAGACACCAGGAATCAGTCATGTGTGTGTGTGCGCGTGTGTGAGCGCGCGCGCGCGAGGGGGCAAGAAGGGGTCTCTCGCGCTCACTCTGACTCACGCACGCGCGCGCGCGCGCACCTAGCCCTAACCTCTTCTTAACTCGCGTGCCATCACTCCACTCACTAATTGCTCCTTAACACAATTCACAAGTCATTAGTCCGACTTTCTCTGATGCGGATTTGCGAGAGGCTCGAAGAGCGCCTTCGTTAACGCTCCCCTGCACCATCACAGCAAAGAAAACTGTTTTGATTGTAGACATTTGGCACAGTCTGGAGATAGATGAAAAGCCGGAGGAGCTTATCCTTTTTTTTTTTTTATCCCTCTCTCAAGTATTCTGAGTAGTTTAGCTCTGTTTAATCAACAGCCCCTGACCTGTGACCTATCACCAAAAGCTTCTCCAAGTAATTAAATAAAAGGCTGTGCTCTTTAGTCCCCCAGAATACATGTAAAGGAAAACTGTGACCTCAGCTCCTTCTTGGTAGTAATTAAAGAATGATCTCTTCTTCGTGCTGATCTGCCCATCTCAGATTCCATCTCAAGAAGTGACCTCTGTTATTGTTTCTGAAATGCTTATTATAGGTTACATTTCAAACTGTAAGCTATCCACTGCTGATCTTACCTTAATGCTGACTACATTATTCAGCTGGAGGATAAAAAGAGCTGTGATTCTTCTTACTGAAAAAAAAAACAACAACTACAAACTTTAGGTTTACACATAAAGTGTTTCGCAGCCATCTGGGCATTCCAGCAGACCAAAGAACACTTTGAATAAATTCCCCATTAAGGGACAAAACAGTTAACAACTCATGAATATAACTTTACACATGCGAATGAGCAGGAAACTTTATGTGCTTGCTGTGCCCTAAGGAAGCTGTCCCACAACCACTCCCTCCTCTTTTTCGCTTCATTTGCGGCTTTGTGCGTAAAGAGCGGTGTGTATTGTGTGATGCACCGCAAGCTGTGCGGTCCTCCCTGCCAGATCTCTAATGACTTTCCAATGATGATTTAAGGGAGGTCTCGTTGCCTTCTCATCCCTTTTCACTCTTTGACAAGGCCTTTGAACGTCGGCACCCATGCTTTGTTTGTCTACTATTGCCTCATCGCCTATAGTGTCGCACTTTAGTGGCACAGAGGGTAGCATACAGACAAAATCCAAAACTCTCTGATATGAATAGATGACCAAGAGACCATTTCAATAAATCAGGGCCTAGGTTAGGCTTACATAGCAAGTACTAAAACTAAACTATTGAATCAGCATTTAAATTAATAAGAAGGTAGTTTTGCATGTATGGACATACCGCATTAGTCCCTTTGTTTGTACTCTTTGTGGTATTAATATCCTGCAATGTAGACTATCACTTATTTGTGTTCTTGCACATAGACAGTCTGCACTAGTACTTCTGTATTTTGCACATTTTCTGATCTAGCCTACCTATTTTCTGCCCTACATATCTTGCTGCTACCACTCATTTTGTATTCTTGACACTACTGCTGTAATATGTATATTTATGTACCTTCTCTGCAACACTTGCTGCTGTAACACTTTAATTTCCCCATGAGGGATTAATAAAAGTTTATCTTATACAGCTATAAATCCAGCTGATCAATTTAAGAGTAAAAGACTTCTCACCTTTCATTTTTCCCTGAGATATATAAAAAATCTAATGGCTTGTTAAATATTTTTGAATACTTTTGTTCCTAGACTTGTATTTGATGGTAAGCATGATTCTAATATGTTCAACACCCACATACCCCATACCCCTCCTCTCTCTTTCTCTCTCTTTCTCTTTCACCTCAGTAATAGAACATAGACATGTAGCTCTCCATCCCACATTAATCCTTCACTCCAACCCAAACAGTCGAGCAAGTACATGACATAATGTTGCACAAAAGTCTGTTATTTGCTAATGTTGTTGATTTCATTTGGTCTCAGATTCATTTCCTTCCAGAACTGCTGAATAATGGGAATTTAAGACGCATATGTAGGCCAGAGCAGTATTTATTAAAGCCGTCCTGCTGTAGAGTTCATTCACAACCCCAAACTAATGCTTGAAGATACTGATAGCTGTATTATGGGTTGAACAGATTGGGGATTGGACTATATTGACTGTGCACAAAGTTGTGTTTTTTTAAAAGCCAGGTAGCAATAAGTCATGATAAATCTTATAACCTTGCTGCTGTTCAGATGATGAGGGATTAGCTTCGATTTGCTTCATTTGCGTTTCCTCTGTGACCTAAATAGCTTCGTGAAAACTGCAGGGCTGAATGGACTTATGCAAATCGCGCTCCACGTGATGGGAAACATTTTTTGGGCAGATGGACTGAGATCTTGGGGCAACTCTCCCTCTTGCACACACACTCTCCCTCTGTCCACATGTTCCACTAGAGAACCCTGGTCAAGATGGAGCGTAAAATCAGTAATGCACCGTGTCAACAACAGGAACAATAATGCACATTTTATTGCCATGGCTCTCTGAGGCCAGTGGGTCATTACTGCATGAATTACCCCGTCGCTTTTAGGAGACATGAAAGGCCTCATGCGGACATATTCATGACGCTATGATAGAATAGTTAGAAAAGGGAACTTTATTTCTGCACCACAAAGGCATAGATTACGTCCAAATCCTTCTGACATAGCCTATTATTTTGTTCTTTCTTTCTTTCTTAATAATAATAATAATAATAATAATAATTATTATTATTATTATTACTATTATTATTCTTTAGTAAATGTAATTAAGTGGGTTCCTGAAGGACTAGTGGTTAGGCCTCGGTGCTCTAACTGCTGTGGCCCGGGTTCAACTCCCAGCCAGGGAACCATCCCCAGCCAATGGGGCTGCACACAACCGTGCACTCCCAGTGCCGGTATCACCAAGCTATCTATCCCAGGATAAAATTAGGGAGGATTGCGTCAGGAAGGGCATCCGGTGTAAAAACTGTGCCAAATGAAATATGCGGACCAATAATCCGCTGTGGCGACCCCTAACGGGAGCAGCCGAAAGAACAAGAAGTAAATTCACTTGAGTGGATCTAATAATGATAACACACTGAATGACACTTTCAAGACTAGCTGAGTTTAAATGCTCCAGAGGCAAAAGGAATATGTGGTTCTTACTGAGTAAATTGAATATTTGTGAAAAGTCTGGGTGTATCCTGACCAGGATAAAACCCCTACTGAAGATGAATGAATGAAATAGTACCTCATGGTCTTTATTTCTGATTTTATTTTATGAAGTGTTTTCTCTCTCAAAACTCGATCAGTAGGCCTACATCTTTATTAACACAAGACTCTCCATGTAAGGTGTCAGTCCCCTAAACAGAAGCATTTTACGATTTAAATAAAGGCAAAGGGGCGTTTTTTTCCCCAACTTCTGTCATATGAAACAGAACACTGCTATACTATCCTTACAAATGTTACAAGACATTGTTATTATTGTTCCTTATTATAATCATATTGTATATTGAGATAGGAGATACTGGGATGTAGGCCTACACCCCTCCTTGCCACAAGCCGTCATATTTGTGAGCCCATTTAGCAACACCGTGTCGTCTTGCCCTTAGAGCAGTGCACACCACAGGGGGCTAGGAGGACATTTAGTTACTAACAATCCAGTGGACAAGCAGGTGAACTTTGGTCTCACTTAATGAGCTCTGCCTTGAGGCGTTTAGTCGCCATGTTTATCATTCGTCCACTTTAGTGCATACAAAGAGCATTGCGGGACGGCGCGGGTGTTTCCCGTCCAATGCGTGAGCTCAGCGTGGGTTTCATTCTCTTCCCTCAAGACACATGGACCGTGCTTTCAGCCATTTAACTATACAGCCACGGGGTATCGCCTTTCTTTAAACAATACCGACCCACTTAACGTCTGAATTAAAGCCGTCAAAGAACCTTTAAGACATAATTGTGTGTTTTTAGAGACCCCACTAACAAGGCCTCCAGGAAAAAAAAACTGTAGAGCCAATTTGAAGATCTGAACTTCCTTGTTTTTATCTTCTTCTTCTATTACTATAATTGGATGGCTGTTTGAATATGAGCATCACTAGGCTTTTTTTTTAAATGTGGTCAAATTTATTGTTTAGATAAAGCTTTGCCAATGAGCATGTTGCCACATTTTCCAATTTTAAGAGTGTGATAGATGAGAAACAGACATGCATATAATCACATATTCCTAAGAGTGAAAACTGAGGTATTGAAATTGAAAATTGCAATAGGCTATGATATTGAAAATTGCAATAGGCTATGGTGTAATTTGTATTGGGCAAATAGTAGATAGGAGATGATGGTGGTAGGCGTTTATAAGTTTATCCACTTCTAGGCCTATAGCATTGTAATGAAATTATTTCTAAATCTGTCAAACCTGCAGAAAGTATTTGTGAATTCCTTTACAATTTACTGACCTCTCAATGAACAAATATTACCATTTCCATCAATGGTATGGGAAATTATGAGAAATCACCCATTTTCTTTGGATTATTGTCATTACACCACGAACAAAAGCACTGATTTCACTTGAACACAAAACATGGCCAACTTTATATTAAAAAAGCTTGACTTGTGAGACTCAAACTAAGCCAGTGATTGAAATGAACTAGAATGTGCCATTCTTCTTCATTGGTATGTAAACTTATCTGGGATTACCACTTGAAAAGAAAATGATCTATATACGCATAGGGAAATCTGTGAGTGATTAGACCAAGACACTTTTTTTCTTTTTGGCTGATTTGAAATGGAAACAAATGGCAATGAATATTGTCTCATTGTTCATGCATGCCAACTTGTGTGTCGAATGACATAAGTAGCCTAAACACCCATCCACCATTTCACTCCCTATAGGGGTCAAATATTAACTAATGTGTTTCATTCATCTAGTGGAACAGGTGATTGGGAGATCAGCATACTTTGCACAGGCACTGAAACACGTAGCCAACAGTAGCTTTTGGGTAAAACTTAAAATTTAGGCCAGCTGACATGTACTCAGTGTGTTAGGATGAAATGAATTATCTCTTGTGGTGATGAATTTACATTTACTGTTGCATAAAGGATGACATGGTGGTGAAGCAGCTAGCATTGCCACATCACAGCTCCAGAGTCCCTGGTTCTCCCCGTGACCAATGTTTCTTCTGGGTTCTCCGGTGTCCTCCTATCCCCCAAAACATGCCAGTGGATTAGCTACACTAAACTGGTGAATGAGTGTGAATGGACTGGCATCCCTTCCAGGGTGTATTCCCACCTCCCAAATCGTTCATTCATCTTAAGTAAGTGCTTTATCCTGCTCAGGATAGAAATGGCTCTGAGCTTCTCCTGGGATTACACCTTGGATGGGATGCCATACACATTTATTCATACCTGGCCAATCTACCTACCGGCATGGTTTTTGGGAGGTGGGAGTAAACCAGAGAACCTGGAGGAAACCCACACATGAGTAGAGCATCCAGAACTCCACACAGACAGTAGCCTGAGCACAGGATTGAACAAGGGACCCTGGAGTTGTGAGGTGCTACCAGCTACCCACTGTACCACTGGGATGACGCACAAGATTCTGGAAATTATCCAACTGTTAAAAAAAAAAAAAACACGGGTCTTTAGACACACACTTGCACTTTATTTTCATAGTGGACGAACAAAGAAACAACATCACATAGTCACACTTTAATTCACTAGAAAATGAAAGTTTTGAAATGAAAATGTGACTGCAATATGCAAAGTCATGACCTTAGTACTATAAGGTTCTATCTCTTGTTCATTGATAAACCAGATAGAACCTTATAATTCTAAGGTCACAAAGTGTTATTGATAACTGATGTGCTTGGTCTCTCAGAATTCTGTCATAGGACAGAGGAAATTTCTGTCATACACCTGCCATAGCATGAAAAATAATTGTGCAAAGACATGATTTAAGACCAACATGACTGAAATGTAGCCTAATTACCACAGTCATTATGTAATTAGGCTTGTATTATTTCAGGTGCACCATTTCAACAATGGTGCACTATTTAAGGTTCTTAGGCATGACAGAGTATATTTTTAATTTTACAATATGGTGTTGGGATTGCTGTGATGTATTTGTATTATTTCAGAACCTGACAGAAAATAATTATATATCATATGCAGGGGCCTGAAAAGTTTAAACAAGTGACTTTTTGTTTACTTTTATCTGGCGACATGGTGAAGGGTTGTTAATCAAATCACCAAATGTTTTGCACTTTTCAGCAACATTTTAAACTCAGGTTAATCATACATTCCTAAGTGTAAGAACTGAAATATTGAAATGGAAATGTAACATATGGACTGAGCATTGGGTAATTACCCACTTCTAGACCTATAACAATGCAATGAAATAATTCTTAAATCTATCAAACCTGAAGAAAGCATTTGTGAACACTTTCCCAAACCTTTTATTATATCTCGGCGAACAACCATTACCATTTTCATCAGTTTAATTAAGAGAAATCATTCATTTCCTTCGATTATTGTTATTACACCATGAGCAAAGGCACTAATTTCACTTGAACACAAAGCATGCCCTGCTTTATATTCAGAAGAATATAAATTGGGTTAAAATGATTTTCTGAATGCTTGTCAGGATTTTAATTTGCGAATGCTGCAGTGCGATAAACTGGAGAGAGAAAAAAAGTAAGAGAGTGGTATATCATAAAAGAGGTTATTAATAAATTCACAATTTATGTTAAGTGAGATTATTCTAAGTAAATAAATAAATAAATAAATACTACTGCTGCTAATAATAATAATAATAATAATAATAATAATAATAATAATAATAATTGTGTGGTTGTGTGTGTGTGTATGTGAGAGAAAGACAACGAGAGAGAGAGAGAGAGAGTGATGACTTTAGGCAAGCAGCTCTAACAAGCAGTTTTCTGCTCCTGGCAATAACTGTGATTTTCTGGTATTTTCATCAAAATTGACTGCCCAGGGATTTGCACTTACACTACACAGCTAATCTTCACATGTCTTTGTGGCACCTCATTTAATTTGATTTCTTAAAGCAACTTCCCACTGGGTGGCCTGTCTTGCCCGCATGAACACACAGGTCCTGGCTTGACCAAGACATGGTTTTCAGCAAGAAGGTATAGGTGTGACATTAAGCCTGAGTATGGCACCACGCTCAAATCTCACAAGACTTCCTGTCACCCTGTTTAACATGTCTAAGGATGTCTCAGGGTAAAAGTGTTGACCTCTAATTACCCTTCAGGTGTTACCCTTCATAACCTGTTGAATACAATTATATTGTATGGACCTAGTTCATTATTTGCATTCACTCACAGCATATAGAGTCTCAAGTTTAAGACCTTAAGCTATACCAACCTGAGCTGAAACTGCTGTGTGGACAGCCAGCTGAATTGGTGTCCTGGAGGCAAGGTTGGCAGGTGTCTTCAAAATTTGTGCTTCTAAACAAAAATCACAAAAGGCCTGAAACTAAAAAAAAATTGGGCACTGGAAACAAGATGCACATTTTCCTTCTTTTTCTCAGTTGTTGCATGGAAAACAAGTTCACCATAGTGTGCACGCATTTTTGATTTGTGTCATCTGCAGCATGCCTTTTTAATCACTGCCTGATACAGCCATATTTCACTCTATAATCCTCCCTTTCCCTCTCACAATCTTTGCAATATAATAGCAATGGACAATAGAGTGTATCTACAGTACATTGTCTACACTTACACTTCCCCTTTGTTTGCCTGTGTTAAAGGAAATTAATTATATTTATTTCAGATTATTTTCTTTAGAACGAGATCATGGTGGTCGTGGCTTTTTTTTTTTAACTTGTCCCAAAAATCATGACCTACGGACTTCC